TCGGCTCCTCTCGCCTCCTCTCGCCTCCTCTCGGCTCCTCTCGGCTCCCCTCGGCTCCTCTCGCCTCATCTCGCCTCATCTCGGCTCCTCTCGGCTCATCTTGCCGTCGAGCTCGCAGAGGACGTAGACCCAGGGCTTGGCCGGGTGGAAGTCGAGGTGGCGAGGGCCACTCGCCTTGCGGACGTGTCGCGGACGTGTCTCCTTCTCTCCTCTTCTCTCCTCTTCTCTCCTCTCCTCTCCGCTCTCCCTTCCCTTCTCTCGGCCCACCTCGGGCAGCAGCAAGTGCCGCTCGCTGTTGGCCGCGCCGGCGAGCGAGCCGCGGGCCACGTCGAACGCGTACACCCACACCCTCGACGCGCCTGCACTCATCAGTGATGGCCCATGCGGAGTGATGGTCCGCGGAGGTGTCGCAGTCACACGCCCTCGACGCGCCCAGGTCGCAGGCGAGCGCCCACGCGCCGCTGCCCGGGTCGAGCCGCACCTGCGGGGGTTGTGGCAAGTCTCTAGTACCGTACGATGGTGAGGACGCACCTGCGGGGGTTGTGGCAAGCTTCACCCATACCTTACCCCTTCTGCCCCCCCCCTCCTCCGACCCCCCAGGCTAGATGGAGTAGTCAGATGTAGATTCTGCCCCACACAGCCCCTTACCCCTTCACCCTCCACCCTCGCTGCTTGGTGTTTCTGAACACGCCTCTCGCCGCATGATCAGCCCTGCCCGTGTGCAGTGACCTCGCCAACGGCACCTGGTGAGGGTGGCACGCTTCTTGCCGGTCAGCGAGCTGCGGGTTCAGCCTGACGACGTGGTGCTTCGAGTCGGTGGCCGCCTACAGGAAGGGTCCAGGAACGGTCTACGAAAGGTCTAGGAAAAGCCTCGTGGTGCTTCGAGTCGGTGGCTGCCCCGACGCTGCCGTCGGCGGCGATCGGCAGCACCGACAGCGTCGACGCGCTGTAGTTGGCACAGAGCGCCCACGCCCCGTCGGCAGATAAGCAAAAGTGCGCCGGGTTGCCGAGGGCGTCGGCGCTGCTAAACTCCTCGAGCATGCCATCAGCGGCTACCTTGTACGCGCGGAGCTTGCCGCTGCCCGCGGCGTACACGCAGCCATTGCTGGGATGCTTTTCCATCCAGCCGACATGGTGTTTCAGCTCCGAGAAGCCCACCCTCTCGCCCGCCCGGTAGACCATGACGCCCTTCTTCTCCACGGCGGGCGGCGGCAGCTTGCCGTACGCCGGGGAGTCCGACACCTTGACCTGGGCTGCGGGCGATGAGCCGACGTAGCTGTACATCTTCGTTCCTGCCGACGATGTGTCCGGCGCAACCGCGCTGAATGGCTCGAGGCGCCCTGAACACACTCCGAACCGCAAGTAGAATTAAGAATTCCCTGCCGAGAAAAGAATTAAAGAAGCGGTTCTTCCG